GATAAAATAAATCACATGGATTTGCCGCAATGTATTCGCGGAGAAATGTCATCTGACCTTTTACTTTGCTAAAAAAAACATGTAAAATGAAGTTTTATTCAAAGTTTTTGGTATGTTATCATATGAAAAAACATAGGTAATCAAAGATTACGAAGCTCACCTCGACGAATGTTATCAGTGTAAGTAATGTAAATCTCACATCATATTTTCTTAATATATATATAGTTGGTACTTATCCCGACAACAATATTCTCTCAAGTTCTGTTTAACCCCATACATGGCATATGCACATTTCTAAGAGCGTGAAAAACATGTATAGTGTAAACAAATATTCATAACTTTGTTAATACTGCTGATATCTAGGACTTTAAGTTCACTGGGATTGATCTGTTCAAAAACTTTAACCTGGTACATGTACCGGTCTCTTGTTTGGGAATATATAGGTCAGATTTAGCATCCGAAGCAAGTCTGATATTGTCCATCCCTTGATGCATCATCCATGCAAGTTTGGTTAGGGCTTATAGTTACTCGGGAATGAAAATTTAGGTCAGATCCAGCATCCAAAGCAAGTCTGGTAGTGTTCATCCCTAGATGCATCATCCATGCAAGTTTGGTTTGGGTAGTGCTTATAGTTCCTTGGGAATGGACCTGCTCCAAAAACGTAAACCTGGTCACTCATCTGGAAAATGTAGGTCAGATCCAGCATCCGAAGCAAGTCTGGTAGTGTCCATACCTAGATACATCATCCATGCAAGTTTGGTCCGGGTAGGGCTTATAATTCCTTTGGAATGGACCTGCTCCAAAAACTTTAACCTGGTCACTCATCTGGAAAATGTAGGTCAGATCCAGCATCCGAAGCAAGTCTGGTAGTGTCCATCCCTAGATGCATCATGCATGCACGTTTGGTTCAGTTAGGGCTTATAATTACTAGTACTTGGGAATGGAAAAACTTCAACCTGGGACGCCGACGCCAACGCCGGGGGTATAGCATAAGCTCATCTGGACTTCGTCGAGGTGAGCTAAAAACCCGAACATAAACAACAAATTAAATAATAATACTAAAAAAACTAAGCAATACCTCATGGTGTAAACCTCGTTATACAGCTGTGTTTCGAATATTATACATGCATGTAAATTGCCATAAAAATACATTTTGTAATAGGAAATTCGCAATCTGAGAGCCCCTTGTGGATATCCGATCCTCAGCATTGCTGATATTTTAGTTTGCCTTTTCTGCAAGAATATTGGAGATTTGATAATTTTCCCTATATGGTATGATAAACTTTTATCTTTAACTTTTAAGAAATACCATGGATGAATTTACATAATATTGAAGATTCAGAGATATTTTTATGAGTATTTTTGATTACTTAACTGCTAATTTTATAAACCTGAGGATCGGACTACCTTAACGTTGTTGATAAGGGTGTCTGTGGAGATTTCCAGCTGTTCCAAAAAAAATTCATTTTTTTCAAATTTGTGAAAGTTCATAAAAAGGATAATATTGAGGGAAAGTCGTTGATGTGACAACAAAGCGTGTGCTTAGTATTTCTGAGGGGGAAGATAACCGTTTCGTGTAATCTCATTAAAGATTAATGCAAATTGGACATTTTGTTATTCTGATAATGTAATGACACTAGCTAGTTCTAATTCTGTTGGCATAATATTTGACAAAAAGGCTTTATTGTTTCATTAAAAAATTTATTGGACATTGTCCACTTTGCTTGGTATACAAAATGTGTATTATTTATTTTCAAAATTGCAAAATTAAAATTTTCAATTTTATACTGCTTTTTTTTTTTTTATAAAGAATGTTATTTTATATTTTGTTTTATATCTGTATTCATGAAATGTTAATGACGGCGTATTATATATAATAAAAAGTTACTGAAGATGATAATGTCATAAGATATTTCTTATAAGGAGTGCCTCCTTACGAACTGTTCCAATTTGTATAAAAAATTCAAGAGCTTGTTTTATGATAACATTATATTCGCGTAATCTTCTTTAAAAAGTTTACATTTTGATATTGTATGAATTTTCTCGAGTCCATTTGAATTCCATGTAGTAATCTTCATTTGTATTTCGAAGATAACTCAAAATATATGTGTGTAAATAAAGTTCTAAAACTACTTTTAAGGACCAACTTAATAATCGATTTATCATAGAAAAAACGAGCAAATAGTCATTAAATGAAATTTGGAAATTTTGATCCCCTTTTGAAAGTTTTATCAGAAAAAAAATCACTGTAACAATAACCAAATCAAATGCAGCTGACTATTCCTTACATCTTATTATCTTCAAAGATGAAGCTGATATGTTAAAGTACGGCTCTTTGGAAAACATCGTAAAACACCCTACAGCGCTTTGTCTTTTAACGCATAATGATTATCTAAATTGATATGCATATATTTATAAATGAAATATATCAACTAGAGAGTGTGAGCTTTTTACTTTTTATGATGAATGGTGTGTTAGCTTTTAAAACATATAACACATGAGGATTTATTTAGCATAACAATTGTTATTCCTGTGGCATCAGACAAACTATTCAAATTTTTTTTGGTAAACAATATCGTGTTTTCTTGGATTAAAAACACATACATGATTGTGTTGCACGACTATTAAACCCTAGGTGTAGACTCTGGGTTTTCAGATGCCTGTTGCTGAAAATATGATATATCCATATTGTATGTTTATTTTCTTGCTAATATATACCTTTTTTCTTAATAAAATTTTAAAACAGGTAACTGTAAGACTAAACATTAATGTTGTAAAACTCAGGTATATGAGTTCACTCGCGTTTATACTTGTCAATTCTGTTATGGTTTCATAGAGTGAGAAATTATCTTCCTTGATAAATAATATTTGATCAAAATGTAAAGTTCATGTAATGACCTATAAAAGGTTTTTAATAGTTCAATGTCTTCCTCTTTTAAGAAGTTTGAATACACTTAAAACTAATTATTAGTCTAGAAAAACTTGAGTAATCTATTCTTTCATTTAAAAATCATATTGACATAATGCACTGTTTATGGCCGAAAAACACATGGAATTTTTGTAAATGTTGTTTATAATATTCTAAGACTTGCCTTAGAAAATTTCATAATCAAAAAAGTTAATTAATTGAAAAAAATGAAAAACAAATGTAAATTGACTTTACTTCCAAGTAATTAAAAATTTTTAAACACTATACACGAAAGCAACCGAGAATCGAAATGCGGTTTCTTTTCATTTTCTTTTGAAGGGAATGTTTAAAGTAATTGACAACATTTATTTCGTCTTCCGAGACCAAGTCTTCTATCGAAATGTTGGAATTCCGAGTAGCACTAACTGTACTTTTTTAATCAGCTAACTTGTTTAATAAGCTTATAAAGCTGAATTAAACCCAAAAAAAATGAGAAAAAGAAATTTCAACAGTTGTGCCCCTCCACCAGACTTAGATTTATCGACGATGCTTTATCAATAAATAATAGTAGCTTTCAGTCATATGGGTATTCGATGATATACAATAGTCAACTTGAAATAAAAGACACAAGTGAGTCTGCGACATCTGTTGAATGTTTAGATAATTTACTGACTATAGATGATGAGCCGACTAGCAACAAAATTGTATGGCAAACCAGATGACTTTAACCTTTACCGTCAACTCTCCTTATTTAAATGTCGTAATATCCCGCTATCAGCTGTTATTTCAGGAATCATTTACATCTATCCAACTTAATCAACGATACTTAAAACATTTCAACAATTCCAGGGTAAAGCCCGTTATGCATAAATTATTTCAATGTTTTAATCTCGTTGATGTCCCTGGCTACTATATATAAGTGGATGTTATATTATCATCATTTCATTTGAAATATAATTGCTTTTTAAAAATGATTATATATCTTTAAATTAACATTTTTGCCAACTGCAAAATATAACACAAAGGCAATTGATTTAAAATTTTGGCCTTTAGCTTCAGGCATTTCATACCAATATTTGCTGCTATTTGTTTCCTTATTTTGACATTTAAAACCTGCCTCTTTATATTCCGGTAGAATTATCAAGAAATCAAGTCCGCTAACTTTTAAAGAGTTATCATCACAGAGATAAAAAATAGAAATGGAAATATAATGTTTACATCTTTCAACTTAATCAATAGTAAAGAACATGTTCCAGGTACGATCAGTCTTTTTAATCTGAGACAGGCTACTATAGATAAGTGGATGTTACGGGGGTATCAACAACCTCCTTTACAGTCAGCATTTCGTAAATGCTATATTTGATATAATGACATTGTTAGCAAAATATAACATATAATTGGGTCAAATTTTAGCTTGCTTGTTTCCTACCAATTGCTGATCCTTTGTTTTTATTTTGAATTTGACTACGTCATGTTCTGTTTACCTGATGAATACTGTACAGTTACGGCAGGTGCGATACGTCAACAGTGGATGCTTACTCCTCCTAGCTAGGCACGTAATCTCACATCCGGAATTTTCAAGGGAACATGTTTTTGCCCTCTCGATAGAATCATATTGTTTACAGATTTTATTTTTCTTAGATAGATCAGTGTTTGTTATCTATACCTTTTTCATTATTAAGATTTCCTTAGGGAAATTTAGTTGAGTCTGAATAAAAAGTGCACTTTCTATTAATTATTAATTTTCCTCTAACCAAAAGCATCCCTAGATATTAATAATAATTTACTGATGATGATCGATTGCTTGAATTGAAAATAAAGATGAACTTTTAAAAAAATTATTTTTTAAATATATGAGAATTATTTTTTCTGATATAAAACAAAATATTCTTTGTTATTCTTACAAACAATATTTCAACAATATTTAGAAGTGCATACAGAGACATTGTCATTGAAACAAAATTTGAAATGTATCGTAACCGAATATTTTTGGAGCTTCTTCTTTTCTGTTGATAGTCGATTAACATTTCCGGAAAGTTATTCTTGTAATATCATAGACGACTTTTGTGCTTAAGTTTTCTAAAAGACTATTTGATTGTCTATTTTGAAGCTTTTGTACATTCAGATTCACCGTTCTAAGGTATTGGAAGTACAGTTCATTTAAAAATTGTGACCAAATTAAGTTAGAAATAGAGATACTACAACTTCATAATCTGTTCAAGCATTAGCTTTTTAAATCAATACTTCTCAGAACACATTTCGTGACTTAATATTAATGGATTCATTTGTTAAATTATTGACAACGATAAAAGCCATTCTTTATATAATCTATGTAAATGAGTGGAACAATCACGTAAAAAGGACTTTTATAGAGTAGTAAAAGTAATAGCAACAAATCATCCTTACGTCAATATTCATATGCTGAAACGTTGCGTAATTCCATTCTTTTCCTCTTCAAAGCCATTGTAAAATAATTGTCGCAGGACAAAAATATGTTTATTTAGACTTAAGAAATATGAATGAGTCAATACCTGAAAATGATTTAGTGTGTATTGGCCACGAAGTGTTTTCCAGTCTGATTTGGATAAAGGTCTTCATTGCCTGTTTTCTCTTTGGTTTGGTTACACTTGCAGTATGTGGAAATATTTTGGTTATACTCACTTTGATCCGAATCAAGAATTTTACACGCAAAATCAATGTGTTCTTCACGTCCATGGCGGTTGCGGATTTGCTTATAGCCGTGTTTGTCATGGTGCCGTCAATTCTACGTCAACTTAGCCATGCCTGGTTCTTACATGACCGAGTTACAACCCGTATAATATTGCTAGTGGACATCATGTGTTCCACCTCTTCTATACTGCATTTTACTTGTATGACTACCGATCGCTTCATAGCTATCAGCAAACCGTTCAAATATTTTCGGATCATGACTCGGAAGGTCGTTGGGTTTCTTATACTATTGTTGTGGACACTTCCGTTCATAGAGGGATACATACTAAGTACATTTAATCCAAACGACTCACTTTGCCTACCTGGTGCTGACTTCATTCCTGCTCTTGTTGGATCCATAGTGAGTTTCTACATACCTTTAGCATTCAATATTGTTCTGAATATCAAAATATATTTGATTGTGAGAAGACGTAGATTTCATGACCTAGGTGATGCACAATTGAAAAATATGAAAACAGAGTTCCGAGTCGCACGTACAATAAGCATATTATTTGGATGTTTTTGTGCCTCCTGGACCCCGTTTTTTGTTGCTAATATTTACAGTGCCATAAGAAAAGAAGATTTAACTCATCTAACTTGGTATATTGTAACCTGGATAGGGTATTTTAATTCTACAATTAATCCATTTTTGTTTTATTTTTTACACAAGAGGAAAATTCTGCGAAAGAGAAATACCACCATCATTCATCATATATCAAAAGAAAAAGAAGAAAATATTATGTACCAATCAAATTCAACAATCAGTACTTTCTTGTAAGTTTTCTGCTTTCCATTGAATTTGATTTTTTATTTATATATTTTTCTTTAACGTTTAATATACAATGTATGAAATTAATACAGAGTTTAAAAAAGGAAAGATCAGATAAAGCATGTATATGTATCCTTAACTCATATATGTTGCTTCTGAAGAAATAATTCAAAACACTTGAAAATTTATATAATATCCCATGTATCCAAGAAAGCATTTTTAGCATTTTCAATTACAATGTATCCATTAACAATGAAGAATGACTAGTCTTATCTTCTTTGCACATTTCTGTTTATGCCTTTAATAGGGATGATGTAAATGGATTGTAAAGAGGAAAAATATAAAACAAAACTGGTACTCACTTTTCCTATGTAAATACCTAGAATTTGACTAAGTCAGCTGTTTAATGTCAAATAATTGAAAACTACAGTACTATGCCACACAAGTTGCTGAGTCTATCAAGATACCTGGTGACGGTACCTCACTGCAATGGGGTTTTTAGATTTAATTTACATTTGCCAAAAATTCTTGTTGAAAATATTATATGCTTTTTAATTTATTTTAAAGAGATAATGATATTTATTATATTTTGTTGATACCCAGCAAAATGTTTTGATGAACTGATACACACCTATTCAAAACACCAGAAACTCCGTAAATGTTGATATGTTATTAAAAAAAAAGTTACATATATGGAGGCGGACCTAATTGACATGGGATATGATAAGCTTATCATTTTGTCGTCATCAAGGTAAAAATTGACGCACTTTTGTGTGCAGTAGGCTGATCACGTTAATTTTAATTGGAATTGCTCACAGTAAAATTTATCAGTCCTCAAGAGCATAATATTAATGAATTTCAAAGTGGTAAGAAGAGACGATTTTCAAAGAAAAATCAGTATGCTTATAATACTCCTTGTAGTTGCTGGTTACTGTGTTTGTTATTGTTATTAATTCTTCTTTATTTTTTGCTTGATTATTCATTCATAATTACTAGGGATGTCAAACATCGATTTTTAATATTCGGTTATCGGACGTTTTTCTCGAGTTGTACCCGGTTACTCGGTAAAAGTGTAAATAAATATGAACAAGTAAATTGAAAACTAAAAAACATTGTAAACTCTTGTAGAAATAAAACCAGCTGCACTGATAGGAGACCTATCCGTAAATGTTTTTCTTTCGTAATAATGATGAGCACTTCGTGCCCGACGAAATTTAATATAACATACTTAATATTCAATTTATTTATCAAATAAACACAAGAAATAAAATTATAAGGTGTTCACAGTGTTTTTGTTTTAAAAAAATAATCTGCTACGTAATAGTAATGTAACTCTTTGTTGCGTTTGACGACCAGGTATCAGTCGTCAGAGCTACGTACTGTATCAACTATGAACTTGAACTTTATATATCATATATTCTCCTATACAGAGTATTTACGATTTTCGTACATATATTTTTATACCTAGACTTTATAATATTACGGGATGGTATTTTAAATAGTTTGGTGCAACGATGGACATCAGTTTTTTTAAGCCTTTGCCTTCAACCAGTTGAATTGGCATGTAATTCGCACGTGTTATATCATCCAAAAAATTTTTGTAAATAAAGAATTTACGGCTTCTCGGAGAAATGACAAAATTATCTAATTTATTTAAACATAATGGAAAGGATGTTCAGTGAAAACAAATAATTAAAGCCAAAATAATTGCAAAAATAGTGTTAATTCTAAGGTATTGATAAATTTTATAATTCATTTGAATGAAATTAAATTAAACAGCCGAAGGTGAGAAAAGCCAGGTACCCAAGGTGCTTGGTCATTTTATGATAATTACTGTATAAATTCCACAGGCGATAATTTACATGATTATTTCTGTAAATTTAAGTCGTATAAAACCCTAATTACTATATGTACAAGTGCAATGAGCATTTTACGTTTTAAAACAGATTTCTTTAATGCATTAATTTTTAATTAGTTTAGAAATATTCAAAATTATACATCCGAGTAACCGAGTACCGATTTTAGTATTCGATACTCGGACGTTCGATCGAGTACCCGGTTAACCGGGTACTCGTTGACAACCCTAATAATTACACACATATAATTATGAATTCTTCATTTTACGTGTATGCAGATTGCGGATTTATAACTGTGAATCATCCGCTGAAATATCTAATATCTTCAAATAATGATTGCAACTGCAGTGTTAATTCTAATAATACTGTATTGATAAATTTTATCATCAGTCATTAGAGAAACAATTGTTTTTCTATATGCTCAATTAAACTGAATGTGAAAATAATAATTATTGAGAAAGGAATAGCGTTAAAAACCGGGATTTTCATTAGATTTACTTGCCAATATAATCAAATAGTATTGCTTTCGTCGAAATTCTTCTTAAAGTTTGCAACAGAAAATTTTTTTCTGTGCAACGAAATGAAATACAGAGGGCAAAACTTCTCTTAGTTGGCGACACAAACTCGAGGGTAAAGATTCCAGAATATTTATGATATTACAGGAAGAAATGTCAGTGTATAACTCTCTTGATTTACTTTTAAAATAAAATCATCTTACACTGAATAGTTGGTGGGGTAATAATTTTTTTAATTAAAACATAAATCCGAATGTGTTTCATTCGAGTTAGCCGCTCAAGAAATATCCACTTCACCTCTATAATTTAGAATTAGAGGTCTGTATTATTTATGGTGTTCATAGGGTCCTATTACAGAATAAATGGAATTGATTGAACGATCTTCACCTTTGACTAGGGAGACTGAATTTAAAACATGTACATGTAGAGACATTAAGTGTGACATAGAAAAATTTTCCCCCTATTCAATGTATACTCGTTGCGAATAAAGTGTTTTTTCTGTTATAATGGCATTTACTTAATCATCGAATAAAAAAGTTCATAAGCACTGTCCTTGTGTTTTACATATGTTTTACAAGCAAATGATGATTTATACAGAATCTGTAATGACATTACATAAATAAAAAATGTATTTCATTAACCACTGAGTATATATACCGCCAAAAATGTTTTGAGGTATAAAAGAAAAACGATCCGAATAATCGGTTAATCGTACGTCCGTCCGTCCGCCTGTTACGCTTTGGGGGTACCCATCTCTTATCTCTTGTTAATTTCTCCGAGGTATCACAATCTGAGCTTGAATCGTTCATCTTTTGCCTCAGTCCTGTTGTCGGTTTTATTTACGAAGTATTAGTATTAAAAATTCAGACTTTATCCGCGACTCCTCTCATACCACTGGATGAAATTTGATGAAACTTTCAAAGAATCTTTATTACGTATTGCCATTGTGCATCTCCTATTTTACTTTTTGATTGGACACATATTTTGGGTTTTCCATTGCAAAACATGAACACTGACATTATATTCATATGGGATCGAGGCGGGGTATCATTCAATCAGCTCATTGATCATAGTACCTCTAGGGTTTTTTTTGAAAATGATACTTCCCTGGAACACGAAACCCAGAAACTTCAATGCCGGGTTAGGTGCCTATAGAACGAGAAAGCATCCCCTGCCAACCGATAATACGCCCTTTGAGTCGTTTGTGTCAAACGGGTAGACTTAATATTCCGTAGCCAAATTAAGTGGAAAAAAACTAGAGGTACTGAGATCAATGAGCTCACTTAATGATACCCCTGCCTCCAATATGTATAAAATGGCAAAACATGTGTCGTATCAAAAAGTAAAATAGGAGGTGCCCAATGGCAATATGTAAGTAGTGCTAATTGTAACAAGATCATTGTTACCCAAACCTCCCCAACTCCCTTTTGGTGCCATATGTTGAAGCTTCATTAAATGAGACAAACTCTATACATCTGAGACTTTAACAACGTTTACCCAGAAGTGTACCAAGTTCATTCAAATTTTAGCATTGCACGCGTGCCATGTGAATGCATGTGCGTAATGACCATATCATCTTGTCTACACAATCTATATATTTTTATATACTAAATATTGAAGTATTTAATCTAATATACTAAATATTAAAGTATTTAATTCAAAAGTATTAAAAAAATACGCTCATTCAAGTGTATTTCGGATTTTACTCATTTCACGTACACGCATGTGCATACATGAACATGGTGACCATACCTTCTTGTAGAAGTCCATTACATCTACCTATGTTCCAAATCCCACTCCTTTTGGTTGAAAACAAAGGTACAAAAAAGCCAATCAGATTGCAAACAAAAAATACCTTCATGTAGAAATCCATTATATCTATCTATATTCAAAAACCCATCCTGTTTGGTTAAAACCAAGGAGAGTTAAGCTATTTAAAGTTTGATAAAAATTAAATGACTTTTTCATATAATTTATATATAGTATATTCCAAGGATACCTCATAATGATTTTATGTTCAAAATTTCAAAGGATTTTGTCAGAAAACAAGAAAGATATTGAGGCTTTAATTTCAGCCAATCAGAGCGAAGCGCACGCGCATGCGCGTGAGATCTTGCTATTTTGACCATGTCATAATAATAAGAAACAGAGTAAAAACAATATGTTCCCCAACTTTGTTTGGGGAACATAATAAAGATTCTGTGAAAGTTTCATCAGATTTCATTCAGTAGTTTGAGAGGAGTTGCGGATAAGAGATTGGTACCCCAAAGCGTAACAGACGGACGGACGTACAGCTAGAAGGACGGACGGACATACCGATTACTATATACCCTCTGGCATTTCAAGCGGGGGTATAAAAGCAAAAGATCAACAATCGGTAAAAAAAACACATCCGCCAAAAAGGCGAGCAGCTAATAGGTGGTATTTGCTAACAAGATCATTGTTACGACCATAGAATTAACGCCTTACACGAAAATGTTAAAATTCTTGAAGCGTAACTTTATCTGCCTGGATTAAAAAAAGATCGTATTTAAAGCATATTTTAAATACTTAATACTAGTAAATTGGGAGAAGCTCACACAGTATGCAAAATATACATTTATTCTCAATAAAACAACAAAACAGAAAACAAACCAAAAACCAAAATCAAAAGCATGAATAACAAAGAGAAAATTTTAAATAAAAATATTATGACTTTTTACCATTTTATATACTAGAACATCCAATCCTCATGATGATTTTTTATGTTAAAGGCAATTGCTTCTCTTTATACTATTTATTGTAATTTTTTTGGTAGTTTCAAACGTTTTCTGTGTTAATCAATCATGCAGTGTACAATATCCAAGACATAACATGGCCAGGCTGATGATAGATAAATAAATCGCTCGAGATTGTTGGGCAATCCAAACAGTCGTATATTGTTTACAAACGATTGATACTTGTGCCGCTCAAAGGGGACAGATACAACACTCGTTTGTGTTTCTTTTCCAAGTAAAGCATACTGCAAACAGTGTCGTAAATAAAACCGACAACAGGGCTGAGGAAAAAGATGAACGATTCAATCTCAGACTGTGATACCTCGGAGAAATTATCAAATCTTATTGCCAAAATAGCTTGTGCGGTTTTGTTGTTTTCTGTCATGGGAGCCACAGTGTTTGGAAATGTTATGCTGATATTCAAAGTGATAAGGAAAGCTGATTTCCAAAGAAAAATTAATGTGTTTGTGATTTCTCTGGCAGTTGCTGATGGTTGTGTTGCTATTTTGGTTATGTTGCCCTCCATCCTTCAAGACCTTATAAGTCAGTCGTTATTACATGGAACATTGATCAGTAAGGTAACTTTTGCCTTTGATTGCATGTTTACCACATCATCCATTTTGCATTTTACGTGTATGAATATCGATAGATTTATAGCTGTGAGCGACCCATTGAAATATTTCCGAAAAATGACTTCGAAAGTAGTGACAATGATGATAATATTATGTTGGATTTTATCAACTGCCATTTCAGTGACCATTGTTCTTCTAAATTCAGAAAATGTTGGATGTGAATATAGTCTAAATGTGAAAGGCATGGCTTCCGTTGTGGGTGCCCTACTTGCATTTTACATACCACTTTTATTAAACATTGTTGCTGGTGTAAAAATTGTATTGAAAGTTCGCAACAGAAATAAATTTCTGTGTAATGATTTGGAAGAAAGAAGCACGGTTTTGTCTCGTCGTCAGCATCATAAACTGGAGACCAGGGTTACAAGAACAATTCTGATATTACAGGGAGCATTTGCTGTGTGTACCACTCCATTCTTTTTGCTTCTCCTTTTAGAGAATCTCTTTGGAATAAAAGCCTCTTACACTGCTTGGTTCGTGGTAGCATGGCTTGGATATTTCAATTCAATGATAAATCCGTATTTGTATTATTTCTTGAATAAAAGATTTAAGAATACGTATGAAAATAGTCACAGGAAGTGTATACAATATGAAAATAAAATTTGAATTTCTCCTATCATTTTATTTTTTTTACAAAACACATATAAACATTATGTTGATACAAATGAAATACAATAAAATTAAAAAAAATAATATCATGAATCTATTTTACAAATTGATTTGTACTGACTGGAGGTAGCTGAAAATATTTATAAAACTAGAGGTGAATCTTTTTTATATGGTTATAACTGATTTGTTATTTTGCTGTGGCCGGAGACCCAAAATATGTGAAAAAAAGCAAAATAAAAGGTGCACAATGGCAATATGTAATAAAGATTCTGTGAAAGTTTCATTAAAAATTTACATTTGAAGAGTGGTATAAGAGGAGTTGCGAATAAGAGATTTTTTTAAAGCGTAAAGACAGGACGGACGTGCATACAGACGGACGGACATGATCTTTCCCACTTTTCATTTATATATAAAGTACTTTGTATTTGAAACTTGATATCGATCTTCCGTTTACAATGATATGATCCTTGTTGTTGCAATTTTATGAAGATTTTTTATTGTGAGAAATAAATGTTAATCCTGAATTTTTGATACCTTGTGAATTTATTAATCTAATCCACATTTTTGCACAGATCGACTTCTTATCCCGATTCGAACTACATAACTCCAAAACAATATATACTACTTATTATTGAAAATTATCAAGAGATCCTCTCGAGTATACGGAAGCGTGTAATTATAGTGTCTACACATGTGATATAACTTGTCAATTGTATTATTTTTCATTGCTTTATCAGGATATTGAATGTTACCATTTCATATTTATACTCATTATATATAAGCGATTTTTTTTATTTTGTTGATTTTACTGATCTAATGAGCACAATATCAAGATTTAAGCAAAACCGACTATTATTTTTTAATGATATGAACTATCATTTTGCCCACATGATAATTTGAATAAATGCTTTAGGGGTTTACATAAAATTTGTAGAACAAAGTGATTTAAAATCTTTATTAAAAAAGACAGTTTTTGCCCCCATATATTTATATTTTCACTGATCCTTGATTCAGTAAAAAAATGTTATAATCCTCAAAATTCAATAAAGTATTATTTACAAACAAAATTTTATGTTTTAAAAGGGATAATAAGAGTGTTTCTTCAAGGATTTCAATGAAATATATACAGATAACGAACAGTATTACAGCTCAAAAGTCCACGAAAAAATACAAATTGGAGCAAAGAAAACACGAACCTCCAAAAAAGAGAGGTGGGATCAAGTGCCATGGAGCAGTAAGCACCCCCCCTCCGACCGGTCATACCCGCCGTTTGCACTTTGTCATATTCGGGAAAAAATCAGAAAATTACATTGACAACTCATTGTGTACATAATGACCTAACAAACAGTAAGAAAAAAGTCAGTCTACATTTTGATTAATGATAGATTGCATTTGCTGACAAAGTCATTGTATCGACCACAGAACTTACAAAATGACGACTTTAAACGATCTCGTTTAAAGTCATTATTTACTAAATCATACAGTCAATTTATCAATTTATTGATATAGTAAGTAAATATAATCTGTAATTTTGTAGTATATCGACCAATATTTTTCCTAAAAATTGTTACATGTAAGTCTTAGCATATTGACCAATATGTTTCCTAAAAATTGCTACATTTAAGTCTTTGTTTCAATAGTTATATTGATTACGAACAGGGGACGTCCATTTTTCCTCTTTGTATCTGATCCCATCTCTTATCAAAGGTCGGCGTTTTTTTTTTCACTTGTTCATTTTCAACGCATCTTTTTGTTTAGTTCCAATTTATATACACAACCATCCACATTGCGTAATAAAAATAAAAATTGGATTGTTTGCAATTGAGCAGTAAAACTAGTTCCAACTTCCAACTTCTGTAAATTGAAAAAAAATCTTGTAGTTTACATTATATTATTCAAATTTTACTGTGAAAAAAGATTGTCATTTGGCTTTGAAATTATATAAAAGTTTTACATAAGCTTCAAGGATTATTCCCGGATGATGCCCAAATCCAATGGAGCAAACTAAATTTGTTAAAAAGTAAGAATGCTATTATCTAATTCTTTTTTTCTGGAAGGAAATCTAACAAGTAATAAATGACATCCCGTACTATCACTGCATGTATATGTTGAAAATGGCACATGCTATGCATTAAGCAATGCGCCATGCTTGCATTGGGTGAAAACACTTCTTTGTATTCTCATAGCACTAATGACGTTTTGTGAGGCGTTTGAAGCTTGAACATAAAAAAATATAATTACGTGCAATAATCGAGGAATTGTAAGAAAAATAAAAAGAAACAGAACTACTTAGACGAATCCAATATGCATTCCACCTGTGTGAAATAGACATACTTGATATGTAGATGCAGATGTAAGTAAAAAAAAAAAAAAGACAAAAAATTCTATATTAATTAATAACTATATATAAAACAGACTATTACAATGAAGTTTCATTTGCTTCTATTTGTATCAATCATATTGATTTACCGAGGTAGAAAAACTAACAATTAATTTCATTTCATCAAAGTGGAAATGTTACACGTGTTAATTACATCAACTGAAATTAAATGTACAGATCCAGAGATCACATTTTCCGTGCTTGAATAACGGAAAGACAACGCCTCTACATACTGCGGATAAGTCTTCGGTAGAAGATTTTCGGCAATCTAGCCCATTCCTCGACGAGTGCTGCAGAAAGCTCCTCGCGGTTCCTAGGGAGTACTGGGCGCGCTGAAATGGCTTGCTGTAGCTTGTCCCAAGCATGTTCTATGGGATTCAAATCAGGTGAAAGACTGGGCCAGTCCATTCGCTCAATGTTTTCATTTTCCAGGTATTCTGTTACGACGCGAGCCCTGTGAGGTCTAGCATTGTTTTCCATTAAAATAAAGTCATCACCGATAGCACCTGCATACAACATGACAATAGAGTGCAGTATCTCATCTCGATATCTTATCCCTGTAAGATTTCCTGCGATAAAGTGCAGGTCAGTTTTTCCGGGTATACTGATACCACTCCCAAACCATCACTGAACCACACCCGAAACGATCATGCTCAGCAACACAGCAATCTGCATAACGTTCACCAGTCGTACGCTAAACTCGTCTACGACCGTCATGAAAGTCTACACTAAAGCGCGACTCATCTGTAAAAAGAACAGGGGTCCAATGACGCAGTTGCCAATTGACACGGTTTCGTGCCCATTGGAGTCTGGCTGTTCTGTGTCTTGGGGTCAGTTTGAGCCGAACTGCTGGTCGGAATGCTCGGATATTAGCCGCTTGGAGTCTGTTTTGAACTGTCTGTGGTGTTACCCGCACTCTTGTTGCTGTTTGAAAGTCTGTATTTAGCCTAAGAGGGCTCTGGAACCTCTGCCATTTTGCCATATTGACCAGATAAGGGTCCTGACGAGCCGTGGTTGACCTCGGACGACCAGAACGTGGTCTCCCAGCAACGGTACCAGTATGTTGGAATCGATTCCATGATCGTGAAATGACACTTTGGGACACATTATAGTGTGCAGCAACAGTTCTTTGAGTACTGCCAGATTGAAGCATACCTACAGCTTGGGCTGCCTCAAAGCCAGTTAAGTGACGTCTCATGGCTTGAAATGTCACAGGGTCATCAAAAAATGTACACAACTTAAAACACGTTTTCAAATTACCAATCTGTATACCCTGAATCACTTTGTTTTTCACACTGTGTCGGCATTCAGTAAAGCATGAATTGGGCATGAATTGCACGACCCTACAGGTAGCATTTTCGTATCGATAACTTGTTAAAGAATACACAGTTGAACTATAACGTAAAAAATATATTATAATTGTTAAGGGAAAACAATTCAAAACCATGATCCTTAACTTATTTTGTCCAGTATATTTCACAATAAATACGAAAATTTGCGGAAATATCAATATAACAGTTAACGTTATCTTTAAAACACAGACAAGTTTAGAAGAAACCTTAGTTATGTGAAAAGCACTTCGTCGCCATCACTGTATCAAATTACTTTTACTATCTGCCTGCAATTTTTATTAAACTACATCTATATGGCATAGAAAGTTTATTTAAAAAATGATTATATCTATTTTCAGACCTCTGCGATCAGTACATGTATATTTTAAACTACAAAATAGTACAGGTACAGATTTACTGTAGTTTTGATGTATCCAATCCAAGACTTAATCAATACTTTATTGTAGTCTAATTGATCATAAGGTTTGAATCTAGTTTCAATCTATCTTATTGACACATTTTAATAGCAACTTAAAATTCTCAAATAAGTTGCTTGTATTGCTTTGAATAAAGTTTGAAGACATAAAATATTGATCTTTTGAAGATACAAAAATGTTTCTTTTTCTTTGGTCATTTTTCATCATCCGATTACCAAATAAACAAACTCTAAGTGTTTTAAATGTTGACTGGGTATACTATAATATCATTAGTTATTGGCAATGGAAAAAATAGCATGTTGATTTAATTTCATATATGGTCCCCACTGGCCAGTAGAGATGCTAGATCAGAATACTCCAATAATGACAATACTTTTTAAATGATTAAAACTACAGCCTTTAGTACTTTAGCCTTTAGCACACTGCCTAGGTCGATTCATACCTAATAAAAAAAGATTGTTAACATTGTGTCCAACGCAAAAAATATATTTATAGTGAGTGTATTTCTGATAAAAAAAAAACGATTCGATGAAGTTGTGAAAAATTGAGGGAGGCATAACCAGAAATTAACCAGATACAAAAGTCCGCTACAGCGAGGGATATCAAGAATATGTTGATTTTTCTTTCAAACTGATCTCTCTTGGTTACTTTGAACATCAAGAAACTTCTCCGGAAATTCTTACTCCAACAATCAAAAACAGAAAAAAACCCCAAACACAATGTTTTTCTTGTATTGTTCGATAAAACGACCTCCATCTCATGACAATTTGTTTCTGAAAAATCATCCCCGCTGTTTTCTATTATCATTTATTACGCCTGTTTAAGATATGTTCATTTATTCCTCTTGTGCACAAATAAGCTCTAATATAACGTCACCAAGGTAGTAAATAAAAAACCAATTCGGCATTTTTATAAATAAAATTTATATTAATAGATTCTGAGAAAAATCAATTTTTGACAGCGAGCAAAACTACTGATGATTCCTTCAGCCACTCGGTCACAAATTTTGATCACGCAATCAATTTTCTGTTCCTCAAGGTCTTTTAAAAGGGACGAGAAACAGTAATTTTTATATAAAAAATTCTCTTTGTTATTCATGATTCTGGCTTTAGATTATTATTTTTATTTTGGTGTGTTTGGTTGTTTTTTTTTTTTGAGAATCTCTATATTATGCATCTTATGTACACTTCTCCCAACTTACTAGCAATTAAGTATTTAAAATATGCTTTAAATACGATAATTAATCTAGGTAGATAAAATTATGTTGCAAGGATTTCAACAACTTCGTATAAGGTCAAGATTTCGTTACGGACAAGCTATGGTAAGGTCCGTTTTGGTCCCTGATTTGGGTTGCCTTTTGGAATGTTACAACAGTTTATCAATGAAAACCTGTCATCGCCCCTGACACAGAATTAGTATATTGGTTCTAGGTTGTGCGAAACACAGATTTCACAGGAAGGCCAGAAAATATGTCAATTTTCAAATTTTATGCAAATTTTCATTGATTTTACGGCACCTTTTGTTTCAGAAAACACAGAGCACAGACTTGCCTATCTGCCAAATTCATATATATCATACATGTATATCTGATGCATGTTATTTATAAAACTCTTAGATAGGCCAGCTTGTGCATGCTCTATGTTTCCTGGTTTTGACGAAATTCCAACAGAATTGAGATAACGCCCCGTTTCAGTGCCCTCTTGTTACCTCTGTGTAATTTTTAATCAAAATAAGTGCTGGTTTTAAAACAAGCATCATTTTAAGTTCGTCACTACAAACCAACATTTTTTTTTACCGTGTTCTGGTTTTTACGTCAAATAAGGGGCCAGATTCGGCAGTTTCTATTCTTTATCTCTTTTGGTCGTATAATGATATTGCTAGCAAAAAAAACCTTATATCGGATCACTTATTTTGGCTGAGGTGTTTTTTTTTTCTTCCAATTTTCAAGCTTTTGTTTTTCTTTAATTTGGCTCAGTAATATTCCGTTTACCTGTTAGACAGACGACTCAAGGCGCGTATGACCAGTCGACAGGGGATGCTTACCGGGTACTCGTCCAAGGCACCTAACTCTTTGGTATATCTCGCATCCATGTTCCAGGTTTGCAAAAAAAAAAAATAGTAACTGTCAACGATTGTCTGTTGTCTTCATCTATGTTTCACTATATCATTTCTACAATATGCTGTAGCACGGCACATCTATTTTTTTTGTTCCTTGTATAGTTTATATGTCTGCGAGGAGTAAATAAAGATATTTGATAGTCAATTTTCTGGACACCACAATAAATATAAATGAATATAACGAACAGTATTCTTGACCATAAAACAATACCAAGAAGGAACAGCTCAAATACGGTCCTTCAAAATGTCAGAGGTGGGACCAGGTGCCAAGTAGGAGTGACCGTCCTCTGCCGATCGGTTACCCGCCTTGTGCTCCTTGTCATGATCGATAATTAACATTTATGACTAACATTTGTTATCAAATCATTGAAGGAATAATAAATTGTATTGACAAGGTCATTGTATCGATCACAGAACTTACGACTTTAAACGTGACTGCCGATATATTTGTTTCATCAACTTGTTTGTCAATGATTAAGCTCATTTTTGAAATTGTAGAGCATGCTCTTGTGTATTGAATCTGAGTACAAATAGTAGTCCAATTGAATGTAGCGTAAGTTGGAGCAACTTTGGTTCCCATAGCAGTGTGGACTATCAGCTAAAATGGGTGATTTCTTTTCCAAGTTATATAATATATACTTTTGAAAACAAAGTCTTTAGTAGATCAATCATAAAGATTAGGAAATCAATACATCTAGTGTTCTATGGCCACAGGTTCTAAACTATGTGCGAAATGTTAGAATAGATGTTGATGACATCATATAACACTAAAATGGATTCAGTGTTAAAATATTGAAAACCATACGGGGATAAGAATTTAAAGGAATCGATCGTCCCGAGCCGAATTGTACTGCATATTCAATTTTTTAAATGCCTGTTCTATATATATACCGACGTATTTAGGAATAAATGGAAGGGGAATGCGTGTGAGAATATAATATAAACCATCAAACCTGCAGTGTTTTGACAATTCTTCGAAAAGCAAATAAGCAATACTTCCCTCTATTGTTAAATATTTATTTTTGTCTTACAAGGGATTCAAATCATTTTCACCTCAGGTTCAGGTGAACCTTTCTGATCATATTTTGTTCGGCGTCCGTTTGTCCGTCTGTAAACTTTTAACATTTTTGACTTCTTCTCAAGACCCAATGGGCCAATTTCAACCAAACTTGACACAAAGTATAATTGGGTGATGAAATTTTGGTTAAAATGAAGGGCTACATCCTCTTCTAAGGGGAGATAATTGTGAATTAGTGAAAATTAATGATATCATTTAAAAATCTTCTTCTTAAGAACCACTGGGCCAGGAAGGCTTTATCTTATATGGAAGTATATTCAGGAAGTGTAAAATCAAATGTGTTCAAATTATGACCCCTGGGGGTAGGGTGGGGCTACAATAGGGGGAATTTTTAGATAGGAAATTTTTGCATAGGAATGTATTGAAAAAGCCTTTAAAAAATTCCTTTTCAAGAACCACTGGGCTAGGAAAGATATAACTTAGGGGGAAGCATCCTCAGGTAGTGTAGAATCAAGTTTATTCAAATCATGACTCCTGTAGGGAGGGCGGGACCAAGCGGAAAATCAAAGTTTTACATTGAAATATATAGGGAAAATCTTTAAAACCTTCTTCTGGAGAACAGAAAAGCTACTATTGGTCATATTTAAATGGAAGCATCCTCAAGTATTTTGCAATCTTTTCACCATTTTATATACATCCAGCCTTCATGGTGATTTTTTTTTAAATATTAAAGGTAATTGCTTCTTTTTAATTTAATTTTTTTTTGCAGTTTCAAACATTTTCTGTGTTAATAAAACATGCAGTGTACAACTTCTACGAAATAAAATGGCTAAGTTGATGATAGATAAATAAATCGCTTGTGATTGTTGGGCAATCTTTTCAAGTCATATATTGTTTACAAATTACGATCGATACTTGTGCCGCTCAAAGGAGACAGACACAACAAAACACAACAGACACAACTTTGTACTCGTTTGTGTTTCTTTTGCCAGGTATAGCTATAGCACACAGTGATAGTTCGTTAATAAAACAGACAACAGGACAGAGGCAAAACATGAACGATTCAAACTCAGATTGCGATACCTTGGAGAAACTATCAAATCTTAATCAAATATAGTTTATCTATGAAAGGCATTGATTCCTTTGTAGGTGCCCTACTTGCATTTTACTTTTAATTAATTAATTATTAATTTTAATCAGAAGTAGAACAAGAGGCCCATGGGCCACATCGCTCACCTGAACCATCTTGGGCCATCTAAACTTGATTATTTTATTTCTCTTGACATGAAATATTTCAGTACTTCATATTTTTGCATCATCAAAACTGAACTGAAATGCAAGAACTACTTGTATATTGAATCCACATATTATGGAGATGCTTAAATTCCAGTTTGACAAATTGCATTCTTTATACCAGGAATTTTGAACATCTAGGCTTCAGGCATACATGCACATACTGTAATTCCTTATATGAGCCAAAGATTGTTAATTAATTATGGTATTTTGCAGTCAGTTTGACAAGTGCAATCTGTTACTAACCTCCCTTCAGTGAACAAGAAAAATGTTTGACTGTGCTTAAAACTTTATTTATTAACAAGAAAGTTATGCAAGTCTTCAGCTAGCTAATGATTATCTGCAGGTAACAATATGAACTTTCTTTTAAAGTAAAATAACAGATACAATGATTAACAATATGGAATATATTACACTATGTTGACAAATTTGATATTAGAATATACAATTTGAAATATATTACTTATCTTGAAACTTACTTTCACATACATGTGAAGTAGTAATTAAGTCAAATACAAACATGTATTAATAAAATCAGTACATGTATAATTAAATTTAAAACATAAAATTGCAAATGACAATAAATCTTGATGAATATAGAATGGGAAAAAATCCTTTGAGAATGCAGTCAAAATATGCATTTTTTCTTAAATGTATTGATCATTTTAAAAAAACACAATCACTTAATGAACGTACCTTTCCCAACGAAAGCGAAAACGGGAAAGGTATGTGTAAGTGATTGGGAAAAAAAGGAGTTTTTATGTGTTACAAAAATATGCATAGCACTTTATATTACCAGAACCCCTGATTCAAAGAATCTTGTTGAAATTTTAAGGGAACTCTTTTTATTCATCTAATTTTTTTTATTATTATGTAGCATATCATGTGCTATCATATCAGTATTTTCATTATTTTCTAAAAGAGGTAGGTTTACCTCCCTTTACGGGCTGGCCATTGACCCCCTCTTTTCATACTTACCTGTAAATTATACATTTTGTACATATTAAATTTGATCTACTGGAAGTCATCTTTAATCACTTGATGCTCACAAAATCTTCATGATCTATGTGGTATTCATTTGAATCAGGGATTCTGAGACTTTATATTTAAAGTTTGACTATATAGCTGTGACAATTTAATGACATTTTTAAAATGTATGCGTTCTTATTTTGAAGAAATATATTTAAAAGAAGTTGACATAGTATAAATAAGATATAATTAAGTGAAAAATATAAATTAATATTTTGTATGTCCAGTTTTATCATGGTTTTCTCACTATCAAAGAAAGAAAACTAAACAAGGCACAGATCAAAATAAAGTTGCAAATATTTCAACAAAAGATAAAAGTCACACAGTCAATGAAGAGATCCAACCCAATGGTTTCCACTTTTTTTAAGATCACACATGTTTAATTTTTGGAATGATATATTTGGCAAATATTATGAGAAGATGACATACAAAGTAGCTGAAAGAGTCAGATCGATTCACAATTATTTGCATGGTCTAGAGTCACAATCAGTGCAGTCTATCGAAGCGTATCCTTTAATGTCCTTCAAGAAAGATCACAAAACATCAGAATAACAAAAGTTTCCAACACAAAATCCAGTTATCGGTATTAAAATCCAATGTAATATTAAAGGAAAGATGATTCTCAATTTTTGAAACAATCAATATTGTTTGTAAGATATTTGAACTCTTTAAATGGTAATACATTATACTCAGAATGGACAAGATATATCTTATAATTCAATAAACTACAAAATGAATATACATGATTACTTATAACAATAAAAACCAAAAGAACTTTACAAACTATATATTCATAAGTAGAGTTCTTATACATATACATGAAAAGAGTTGTTCACAATTTTACAAATCGACAGAAATAAAATCAACAGTTGATCAATATACCGGTGCAAAAATGCATTTATTTATGAATATGACCTTTCATTTTAATTCAAATATTCATAAAAAAAATTCAGCACTAACTGTTACTAGTCATAGAAAAAGATAAGGAATTATTACTTTTTACAAATAAAGTCGTAAGAAAGTAAACATATTATATACATGTATGTATAAGTACAATAAGAATTCAGTATGTAATCGACAGGTTTAAAATGTAAATGTCTTCATTTAAAACAGAATTGATAAAATACAAAGATAAAGTACAAAATTCACATTTTCAAACAGTGGTTTATAATAAAAAAAAATTGTCCAAACAGGGCTAATACCCAACAAACGAATAAGGAAAGACATATATATACTTCTCTGAAATCTTAATAAATTTATTGAAAATGGCCAAGGGAATGGCCTGAATATTAGCTGAAGGTCATGTTAATCTCTATTGAGTAAAGAACACAATTATACCAATTGTTGAAGCTTTTGGATCATAAAATACTCAACTTCTTAGTCATATTACTGAATGATATTTTACAATCATGGCATCCAATGAGATCAAAACAGATCACTTTTTCATAAAGAATCTTTGCAAAAGTAATATTCATCCAAAACCACGAAATGTAAACATTGTACGTTTTTGCCATTATTCTAATTTTTTAGATGATGGCTATTATGGCAGCATATCATAAAAAATAGCTTTAGACTTTGACAAATTAATACCCAGACAGATGGACATGATGAATCCATTATAATCCAGTATACCCCTAAAAATTCAAGGGTACACTAGGACTGGGACAAGGGGGTGAGGGAGGGGGTATTCTCATGGATCTCCCTCAGAATTGTTTTTTATTTGGTGCCCCATTGTATTTAATGCAAATTCTTATCAAATGCACAGTACACCATTTTATGATCTGACCAGTATGCTTCAATCACATCTGTTTCACATGGGGATATATTTGTAAAAATTAAGTCAAGTTTAGAACCAGAGTCATGAGTAATCTTACGCACAATTTGTTTACAACTGAAGCCTTTTTCCATAAAAGTTAGAAAGTCTGTATGCCCAGCAAACAAATCAAAATTAAAATCTCCTAAGAATACCAAGTCTTTCTGTTCATCAATCAAGGGTTTTATGTGCATCTCCACATGTTGTTTGAAATCTCCCAAAGAGCAAGATGGATATTTGTAAATAACTACAACTTGGACATCTCTATGTTGGTTTAAATGTATATTTACCATGATGAATTCCATGGAACCAGTGTTCAGCTTTGAGATGCAGGTCATGTTGTAGACATTTTTCACATACAGTGCTGTTCCATGATACGGGCGTCTGTCCAGATTACATGTAGGCTCATGGTTAAATACTGCTGTGTATCCCTTCAGTTGATAATTTTCAGCTACATCAGCAGTACCTAATCTTGTCTCTGAGAATGCAACAACATCTGATGCAATAATATTTGGTTCATCTTGAATTTGTGGGAAGTGTTTATGAAGTGATCTACAGTTGTTGAACACAATTTTGAAAGAATGCAAATCGACCTGGTATAATGGGACGTAACAAAGAAGCAGTGGCACATCTTTTTTCATTCTTTCCATTTCTTCTACTACTTGTTCATCCATAGCCAATGCCTGTTCATTAAAGTTTAGGATGTGCAGATGATCCACTGATCGTACTCGACTTAATGCTACATAGTGAATATGTGCATTTTTCCTCACTCTAGTCTGAGACAAATCAATTACAATTTCATCAACAGTGCAACCTTGTGCTTTATGAACTGTTTTCCCTGCAGCTGGTCGTAATGGAAATTGAATTCTCTGAAAAGTATTGTAATTCAATACAAAAGACCGCTGAACTTCAAAAATTGGTGTCCAGTCCACATTGATTCCATCATGAAACAAATGTTTGTATTTCTTGCGAGTAATTTTTCCAATAGCAGCATCAAAAAAATTTACCTACACAATGCTTGGTCTTGATATTCCGTCCATTCTTCTTTCAATTAATTGTACCTTACATGATGACCCATTTGTTAAACCATCAGATACATCAACATTGACTGAGATATCATAGATCATCCCAACAGCAAGAGTCAATTTTTGCATCAAATTAGCAGTTTTGCTAACATCATCTGCTTTATATAGAGATCTAAGCAGCTTTTCCTTAAGTTCCTTTGAATAATCCTTTAGAACACTATCCACTGAATTCACTATGACCTTTTCTCCTTCAAGTTTTTCAATCAACTGATTGTTGTATGCATTTACTTTAGAATTCTGTGTAAATAGATGAGGAGCATGATGTGGATAATTGTCACTCGTTTCCGTTATCATGCATCTGTGTATTACATTCATATCTTCTTCTGTCATGATATTGTAACGAAGGCGATTTAGGAGTTGAGCAAACTCAAGATCGTCTTTCTGGCGCATTATTTCGTCCAACTCAAAAATGCAAAAATGCTCTTTCCAAAGATTGTTTGCAAGAGCTTGAGCACCATGATTTAAATCCTGAAAGATCCAACGGTCCATCACAGGTTTTAGTTGAAAAAAATCACCAACAGCTATGATACTTATGCCACCAAATGGTTTCTTGATGCCTGTGAGAAGTTGTAGACGACTGTCAATGAGTGCTAATGATCTATTTCCAACCATTGATATCTCATCAATAATGATCAATTTTAGGTTTTGGTACTTTGTACGAAAAGTGTTCAACTCATCACAGTGCAAACTTTGTTGACTTTGATTAATTTTTTGGTGGAAAGCAGATGCTATAGTTGCCCCTCCAATGTTGTATGCTGCCTTGCCGGTATAAGCACAAAGAAGTATTCTGATGTCATCTGGATTTTCACCTTCTATGGAACATAGATATCTGTGCAGAGCTTGATAGAGTGCTCTAATCAATACTGATTTGCCAACACCAGCACCTCCAGATAAAAATGAATAAATAGGATCTGTCTTTGTTTTGATCCATTGCAAGACATGATTGAAAAATTCCCGCTGCTTTACATTAAGACTTCCTAACAGTTTCAGGTATTCATTGTCTGGTAATCTTACAGAACTTTCTTCAGTTATTTGTCTTGTTGATGGAATCCCAAGGTCAGATCCTATATCATAGTGTCTCTGTTCAATTGGCCTTTCAGGATTAAATTGAACATAGTTTTCAGATTCAAGTGATCCTTCATTTTCATCTTCTGCTTCCGTTTGTTGAGCATTTGGTGCCAATTCATCATAAGCTTCTGAAATATCCTCAGTTGCCATTTGTAAAGCAGCATCAAGCTGTTCAGCATTGAATTCATATTCCTTGACTTTGTGAGCAAGAAAAGACTTTTTCAGATGAAATGACTTCTCAAATGTGTCCATTCCTGATATCAGATCAATGGATTCATTTCTCCAAGGCATGAACAGCATGAGCTTTTCTCTATAGTAATTCTCTGGATCAGTTTTGATATTAAATCGAACGTATCTAATTACCCTTGGTACTTTCCGTCGTCTAATTTTTATGCCATTTCTCAGAGTCACTAGTGTATCACTTTCACTAAAATCAAGATCTGCATTGTCTTCATCATCTGACTGATTGTCTTGATCATCATCATTCACTTCATTTTCAGTGAACTCTCTTTCATTATCTTTAGGGAATACAACATCTAATTGTGATACGTAATCGGCTAAACACCAGTTTTCAAGCTGTTTTGGGCGTTTTGCATATCGTTTAATTACATTGCTACATTCCACATCTGTAGAATTTGGTGTCAACTTCTCCAATTCAGTGTCTGTTTTGATGAGAATGACTCGGTCATCTGATGGACTTGTGTTGATAAACACAACATCTCTTGATGCTTTTGTCATTGCCATTTGTAAAACTAAATATGCAGCTTCCTGTGCTCCAACTTCTACACTGTTGAGAAAATGATTTCCAATGTGACGTACCTGTCTTTTTATGTCAAGATTTCCTTCTCTAGCTTCTTTTGCAGCTCTGTTCAGTAAATCGCTCATCCCTCTTTGTGATTTACTTATATAAGAAACAATATACATTGCACAGGCATATGGGTCCAAAATATACTGAATGTCAATGTTAGCTTTCCACGCATCAAGAACAACACTGTTGTAAGAGTTGACCCTCATATCACATGGATTTCTTTTTAGAAAAACCTTTGGACCTCTCAGTGAACTTCTAATGCATTTAATGTAATCTTCCTCAGATATCTTAAGTACTGTGCTCAGGAGCTCCTTGTAGGGCAAATCACATCCATTTTTCATATCATTTAGTTGTTTTTGAATATCATCATACATTTTCTTGTACTTATCAACATCACACTCTAGTGGCTCCAAAATTAGAGACTCTTCAAGAGGTGGAAGGGGAAAACCAAATCGACATACAGCTTTACCTCTCTTTTTGCATGTCTGTGAATGTTTGTGCACTTGTAAGTCAGTCAGATCATCCTCTTCATTTTTTTCACATTTCAGGTAATTATCTACATAATTTACTATCTCCTGTTTAGTATTTTCATGGTACTTTGGTGCATTTTCTATCCAAACAATCATATGAATATGTGGTGATCCTCTTTGTTGAAATTCAGTTCTGTAGAAGAAGTCTTTTACAATCCCAATTGGATGATGATCACTTCTTAACACTGAATTCATAAACATACGGAACCTATGATCAAAGTACCTAGAGCAAGTGATTGGATCTTTTTGTACTAATTTTGATTTTTCAAACCAAGTCATACTGTCGATTTCTTCATCAGTGTATTCTTTTCCATCATTTAACACTCCAAGTGCTCTGATGAGATCATTCCATCTTGTATCTGCTGCAGACAGTGACATAAACCATGTTGGTAGACCTAGCTGTCTGATCATAGCAAATACATCTTTTTTTCTAGTCTCAAGATATGCAGGCGAATTTCTTAACTGCCTGAACACAAAAAAACCTTCATCATGTCTAACAAGATTATTCACATTTTCAGGATTCTTCATTTCATTTGCTGTTATGGATTTTCCTTTGGTTTTGCATTTTCTAAGAGCCAGATTGCATTTGTCTGTAACTTGTTTCATTTGTATTTTTTTCAACTTGAAAAACAAATTTGGAACAGACTGGGCGGCACGTCTATCAACACTCCTTAATTCCCATTTAGCAATATTTGCATAGGACACCCGTACTTGTCTTTCGTCATCTTGTAATCTTTCCTTTCCACAAAAAATTGTTGGAAACGATAAATACTCAGCTGTCTGATCTTGATATAAACTAAGCGGGCGTTGTCCTTCACCTGGAGCAAATGTGTAAACCTGATTCATGTCTTGTGAAGCATCATCTAATAGAGTATCACAATTACCATCTCTACCAACTCCATCTACTTCACAGAATTCATCATCATCATCAACCGTCTCAAGATCATCAGCATTTTGGTTGCTTCTCCCTTGTGTTTGCACCAATTCTTGAACAATTTCACTTGCTGAAGTTGTAATTTCTTGAAACCAGTTTTTATCAACATTGATATTTGCATTCTTCACTATTGTTCATAAGCCAGTGCAACGCCATCAGTACTTTTGTTGGCCGTACATTTTCATGATAATCACATTTTTGATATGACAACTTTTTCTTTAATTTGACAGGAACTGTGACATTTTCATCTAATTTTCTTGGCAGGCTATTTACAGTAGGTTGAATATCAACAGGAACATTCACAATATTTCCTCTTACAGAATATTGTCCACCCCTTGGCAACTCTCTTATTTGCATAAAAGATATTCTCAGAGATACAAGCCTTTCTTCTAAAGGAAACAAATCTAATTCCATTGGCTTTAGTGGCCACATCATACCATTTAAGACAGACAACTTTGGAATTTTGTTTTCTCTTATTGATGAACAGCAACAGACACAGTGCTTGTAAGAAACTTGCTTTTACATTTATCATCTAGTTTGACATTTTCCACTTTAGAAACGCTTTCTTTGAACCATGTTTGCTGACAACATGAGCATACAAAAATTGGACCATATCTGATCTGTTCATGAAAATTTTGGATGCAAGCCTCTATATCTATTCCAAATCTTTTCTGTCTCTGTTGTTCATTTACTTTTTCACAATATTCTTTATCTGCTCTTTGCTTCTGTTTCTGTTCCCTATTTAGCAATCTCTCATTTTCTCTAAATGAAATGTTACTTCGTTTAGCTTGCTTTCTTAACCTTTCCTTTTCAAGAACAGTTGGGTTTTCTCTGCATTTTCTTTTTGAAATTCTACTGCCCTCTTTTTCTTTTTCTTGCACTTCAACATTCTGACGCTTTAACTTTCTACCAGCGCTATTCATTTCCCTTTCTTTCTCTTTAATTTCAGTATTTTGTCGTTTTATCTTTCTTGCAAGCTTATCCATTTCCCTTTCTTTCTCTTTAATTTCAGCATCTTGTCGCTTTAGCTTTCTACCAGCGGTATTTATTTCCCTTTTCTTTCTCTTTAATTTCAGCATCTTGTCGCTTTAACTTTCTACCAGCGCTATTCACTTCTCTTTCTTTCTCTTTAATTTCAGTATCTTGTCGTTTAAACTTTCTTGCAAGCTTATCCTTTTCCCTTTCTTTCTCTTTAATTTCAGCATCTTGTCGCTTTAACTTTCTTGCAAGCTTATCCTTTTCCCTTTCTTTCTCTTTAATTTCAGCATCTTGTCGCTTTAACTTTCTACCAGCGCTATTCATTTCTCTTTCTTTCTCTTTAATTTCAGTATCTTGTCGTTTAAACTTTCTTGCAAGCTTATCCATTTCCCTTTCTTTCTCTTTAATTTCAGCATCTTGTCGCTTTAACTTTCTTGCAAGCTTATCCTTTTCCCTTTCTTTCTCTTTAATTTCAGAATCTTGTCGTTTTATCTTTCTTGCAAGCTTATCCATTTCCCTTTCTTTCTCTTTTATCTCGACATTCTGTCGTTGGAACTTTCTTGCACCTGCATCTCTTTCCTTTTCTTTCTGTCTTATTTCAGCATTCTGCCTTTTTAATTTCCTTACAAATGTTGCAATTTCTGTTTCTCTGCTTTTTACATCATCATCTTGTCTTCTCATCTTTTTTGCATGTGTATCTTTCTTTCTTTCTTCTTGCTTAAATTGTACATTCTCTCTTTTTCTCCTCATATACTCTCTCATATACCTTTTCCTGCATGGGCTTTGATCTGAATTTGTCACAGAAGAGAGATGATCATCCATTTTGTAAAATCTTTTCTGCAATGGGCTTTTCTCTGGAAAACTATGATGCAAAGTCTTAATCGAGATTGGCAAGATTTCAAACTGCATTGCAAAGTCTATATGCATGCTGTTATACATACTGTACAAATATGACACCAAATCATCAATACTCTTGCTTTGTACTAGTACTGATTTACCATCACAGGCAGACATTCCATCACTGTCATGTGAATGAGAGTCAAATAAGTAATATTCATTGTCTGATACTTTGTATATACCAGAACAAATTGCCCCTATCATTATCAGCAAATATCGAGAAATTTGAAATGCCTCTTCTAAAGCTTGATGCAATGATTTCACTTGACTAATTTGTTCTTCAGAGACAAGTAATCCCCACATTGTTTCAAATTTCTTAATGACATGATGATTTTCTCCTAAAGTTAAGGTACTTGGCAACTCATCAAATTTAAGTAGTTTGTTAAGAAACATTTGTCTTTGCTGCAAATTCTTGACCAGCATAACATAAACCCGATCTCCTGCTATTAAAGTGCTATCAATAAATTCTGTTGAGAATGAAAATCCTTCGTAACTTTTAATCAGCATAGTAAGTGCATTGCACGTACACTGATTTCCTCTAGAAAATGATGAAAACCTTGCATCCCCTTGATGAAATGACCCAAATACAAATTTTGTATTGCAAACCTGGTCGATTGCATGACTAAGTGGTTCGCCTTCTTCAGCCATTACACCATGATTATGTTGTACTGTTTTAGTGATTGAGGCAATGTTTGTAAATTTTTGTTCAGTAATGTTTTGCAAATTCTTTTCATGAGATTCATTGAGCAGATTTGTTTCACATAGTTCATTCAGCAAATTTGTCTTACAAAAATCATTCAGCAGATTTGTTGCACAAGTTTCTTTGTTTGACCTGTTTTTTTTTGTAAGCTGAGGGCAGGATCCTCAGTGTCAACATTGCTTTTACTGTTTTTCACGAGGCCAGTCTCCTCAGTCATTCTAATGTCATACATTGTTTTACTGTTTTTTAAGAGGCCAGTCTCCTCAGTCAAGTCAAGGTCAGACATTGTTTTACTGTTTTTCATGAGGCCAGTCTCCTCAGTCTTGTCAGTCCGTATCTCTTTCTTGGCACCACTCATCCTCCAATACTTTCTTCTAGGCATCTACAAAGGATAAAGTTAATAATGAATATAGGTACTACAGATATACATTCAAGTTTTGTTAATATGGACACTTAATTATCATAATCTGGATTTCTGAAGCATTTATAGGAATACCAGATTTTACCCCAAATTCCATGTACTCATCAGGAAGAAGAAGTATAACTAGTGCTAATTGTAACGGGGACCGTTACAGATGTTCCCCAAACGCTCGCCAACTCCCTTTTGGTGTCATATCCGCTGTAAGCTTCATTAAATAATATGACCATATCATATTGTCAACAGAATCCATATATTTTAATATACTAAATATTAAAGTATTTAATTCAAAAGTATTAAAAAATACGCTCATTCAAGTGCATCTTTTATTTTACTCATTTCACGTGCATGCACTTGCATACATGAGCATGGTGACCATACCTTGTAGAAGTCCATTACATCTATCTATACTCTAAATCCCACCCCGTTTGGTTGAAGACCAAGGGAGTTTTAGCTGTTTTAAGTTTCAGCCAATCAGATTGAAGCACATGTACATGCACGTGTATGCATGTGCATGGTGACCATACCTTTTTGTAGAGGTCCATTATATCTATCTATGTTCCAAATCCCATCCTGTTTGGTTGAAAATCAAGGGAGATATATCTATTTAAAATTTAAGCCAATCAGATTGCAGCACACGTGCATGCACGTGTTTTCATGATAATTGCTATATATCATGTTGTAGAATATCGTAATGTTTGGCTATGTTCAAAATTTCAAGGGATTTAGTCAAAAAACAAGAAAGATATAGAGACTTTAGTTTCAGCCAATCAGAGCGAAGTGCACGTGCATGCGCGTGAGATCTTGCTATTTTGACCATGTCATATTGTCTATGCTACTAATATATCCTTATATTATGAGTTTCAAAGCATTTCATCAAAAATTTAAAAAGTTACGCCTATATCAATTAATCGGTCATTTCACGTTGCACGTGCATGCTCTTGCAAGCATGTGTGCGCAAAATGACCTTCGTTCCGCAAATTAACATAACATGCCTACTTACCCTAAAAAGGTTTTACCTAAGTCGGATGTGTAGTTTACAAGATCACTCCCGGACAAATAAGTACCCAGGAAGAAGAAAAATATTAATAATAACTAGAGCAAAGCTCGTTGCAAAGCAACGATTAGGTCTTCCGTCCTGTTTGACCGGAAGTAGTTTTCATTTTTAACGAATATGAGAAATAAAGCCCCAAAATTGGTTGAATCCTCAAAATCTATGTTAATTAATGGAAAAATAAGCCATTTTTTGCTACTTCCGGTTTGACCGGAAGTGACGACGACGGACGGAAAATTTATTTTTATGTTCCTAGTGACATAAAATACCCAAAAACTTGTCAAGAATGACCAAAATACGCGTTTTCCGACTACTTCCGGTTTGGCCGGAAGTGATGTCGTCGGATGTATTTTGACGACGCCCGTAGATTAAGCTTGAAATCTTGAACAACTTTGCTTCTTTGATGTATTGCAAATTCTCAATACTTTTTGAGATATAAACGAAAAACTTTCGGCCCTCTTTGGCCCTTAATTTTTGGGGCCAGCCCTTTTTCCGAGATATCATTTGAAAGATCTTTTAATTCTACACTTCTTTTGTTCTTCATGCTTTTACAAAATATTTCTAGGTAAAAAGTTATCGTAGAAAAGGTGTTTAAATTTTTGAAATTCTTGATAGGACTGTTTTCGCACCATAGCCAGCGTCGGCGCTTCGTACTTCCGGTGGTTGAGATATACCAAATACATATCTCCAAAGGTTGCTCTATCAGCACTGAAAATGTCATGCTTCTGCGTTGAGTGCTTTTTGAGAAAACTGCCGGACAAAATGACCCTCTAAAACTCACTAAATCGCGAAAAACTCCGAACCGGAAGTGACGTCATCAAATTAAAAAAAAACGCCTTAAGTTCATATCATTTGTCATCAATGCTGAAAGTTTCATGAAAATCCATCGACGCATTTACGAGAAATCGCGTGCACAAAATCGGTAAGAATAATAATAATAAGAAAAGTTGAAAAGAAACAACAGAAAAATAAGAAGGTCTTCCGTTGAAACGGAAGACCTTAACTAGTGCTAATTGTAACGGGAACCGTTACAGATGTTCCCCAAACGCTCCCCAACTCCCTTCTCGTGCCATATTCCCTGTAAGTTTCATCAAAGAAGGCAAAATCTATGCATTTAAGACGTAAACAAAGTTTTCCCAAAAGTATACCAAGTATTTCAAATTTAAGCAATGCAGGCGTGCGCATGTGAT